AGATCTAGGGCACTTTCTCACGTTTAGCTCTCCCGCTAGGCACAGGTAAAGCAGTCAGTCAGGTAAAGCGTCTTTTAACGGTTATCCTTAATGCCAACGTCTTGAGGCACAAGACGTTGGTCGACAACAAAAGATTTAACATCTGCTTTTTTGATTTACCCTCCCCAAGTCGAATTTGCTAACTTCTTAAAGACCTTTTTTAAGAAACTCGCGCGTGTTCTTAAGGAAGTGACGGTTATTCTTACCGTCAGGGATGTACAGAACGTATTGTTATGTATTTCTGTATTTATAAGTATACGAGTTTACAACAACTTCTAAATACTGCTTCCTGAAGAATTCCTTTATAGAATATTTTATTTAATATGAAACAGTGGGGTAGTTTGAAACGATAAGAATTTAATTGCTTTTACTATTTCATTCAAAAAACGTTGTATACACACCTTGGAAGTATAACAAAATCGTCCTTCTCCTTTTAAGTTAAAAAAAATTAAAAAGCATATGTTTGCATGTTGTATGTTTCAAGCGCCTTTTTCTATTTGATTCCCTAGACATCGAAAATAAACGACTTCTTATTATCGTCTTCTCGATTTTTGTATTATTAGACATTATACGTGTCACGGTATCAAAACATATACCCAAGAACAGTGTTTCTCAAACCCTAACCTATATTCTACGGGATTGCTTTTGGGTGTCTCCAAAACAACCCCTACTAATCTAGCTAATTGTAAACAAAACAACAAAATGAACACCAAATTTATTATTCGACGAAAGCATAATCATTGATGTGATCTTATTTTTGATCTGGTTCAGGTTTCATATTAAGAAATACAGTGTCGCATTTTACGAGAATCGGATTACTGCTCTGTACTTTCTACTATTTTCTTCTTTGAGTATTTAATTCGATAGGAAATGTTTTGGACATCCCTTCGTACCCATGCACATATACATGTGCGTAATAATAATAATGGGTGTAACACGTTTCTATAAGTTAAACCACGGCTCCCCTGATGTAGCTCGTGTCGGCGTTCGTATACGTACATTATTGGTTTGACAAGAAGTCCTACAAAGTAATGTGAGGAGGCAATAAAGGCAGATGTTCGTTCAGTGGGGACTAAAAACCGTTATATTACTTGCGAGCATTTCTATCACTGACATTTTCCTATGGTGGGAAAAACGTTTAAACTCAACTCAAATTATTAATTGAATATCGCTGAGACATTATCATATTGTCAAAAAATGGATTATTAAATACCATCATTTAAAAGTTTTAGGAATTAATGTGAAATTCATCGAATAAAACAACACGAAAATAATAATATTCCAATAGCATTTGAAATAAAAAGTTAAAAGAAATTATATCAAAACGAATGAGATATTTCAATTCAGCATATTCTAATTAGCCAGAATTTAACTTATACTTCATCATCATCATCATAGGTTCCTCAGTCCTAAGACTGACGATTTGACACGCTCGTTCACTCTTTCCAATTTTGAAAAAAAAAAAAATAGGAGATATTCAGTAATTACGTATCAGGCGGTAGGAAAATCTTAAGGATCTTCAATTTTCCTGTCACATCCTGTGAATTAACTGTGTATTCAACAGCATCAAACAATTATTTTAATCATACTTGTGCATTTCGAATTATACGGTGGTAGGTAATTAGTATCAATCAATTTCTGTGCGCGATTTTCGCTGTTTATATTAGCTACGCGTTTATTATGATCAACAGGTTTGTTTATAATTTTATACAAAAACATAGACACACACACACACACACACACACGTAGTACATGTTTGAAGGTACACGTACACGTATAATCGTACGTATAAGCGTATAATGGGTGGTGATGCAATGTGAAAGCGAGCGTCGCGTCGGCCGCCGTCGCCGGCGTAAGCAACAGATGTAGTAAATAATTAAACAGATTTGTATTATTGTCGTATTAATTATGCTCGGCCAATTGCCCTGTAATTGGTATTTGAGTGTTTCACAACAATAGCTCTGGCACCTGGGTGGTTAGTTTTGATAGTTTAATGGGGTGGAAGGTGTTCCGCAACACGCATGTGCATGCATAATTTCACTCTCTATATCTGATACGTGTGTAACGTTTAAAAATTTCTTTTTGTATACCATTAGATAGAACGAAACAGAACCCTTGTAGTCGAGGAATTTCCAAAACAAATTATAAAAGTGCCAAAAGACAATAAGGTATAATGTTTTTCCTCCCTTCTTGATAGCACTTAACGTCAAATCAACCCCATCATTTTGTAATTCTCACATTATTCATTATAAGGTCTTCAATCCGAAAAACTTCCTTAAATATTTACGTTCCCTTGTCTTAATAGATATCCTAGTATCCTATTTATCCTTTTCCTTATTGATTTCCATATCACCTATTTTCCAACCTTTCTCATTCCTTCTCATTTCTAACCATTTCTATCCACGGTATTTTCAAAGTCCTACTACAAGATCACATCTTCCACAGCATCCCTCCCCTGGAAGATACGGCAATCCATCAGTATCCTGCGTTAACTGAAGAGCCATGCTCAAGGAATCAAACAGTCACATGTGACTTGTCTACCACTGCACTAGACTATTCTTCCAGAAGACAATTTAAACTATTACAGAATTGCTTCACCTTGAAATATCGCCTTTAAGTAAGGTTTCTCGTAAGGACTTCCATCTAACTTCCTATTAACGAAATTTTGAAGGAGATATTTCTTAAATACACATTGCTAATTACTGCAGAAAGCTTTTTGTTTTATTTGCAATTTTTGATACTTTGAATGTTTGGAACTATTTTATCCACGTCTCAATGAAAGATGTAGAATTCAATTTCCTTTAAAAATATTGGTATCAATAAAACGGATAAATTGATGACACTATTAGCAAAGATATTTTTGCACTAAGAACCAATGATGCAGTCATATTTATATTCCATTTGGGACATAGGAAATTATTGTAAATTATTAAGTTCAGAAGATATGAAAATAGAGTACCAATCCTTGGAAATATTTTAACGAACGACGTCGACGCGACCAGTGGAAATGTTCGTAATAGTATGAGACAAAACAAACATTCAGTGAACTATAATTCCTCCTTGACCATTTATGGATGTAGTTACACAAATAACTCCCATATTTTCAGTGAAAATAAGAAAAAATAAGAGTCTGAATTAAAAATCACGGCGTGGAAAGTCCAAAAAGCTTGCGTTTTGTTCGTATTTGTTGGGCCAGGAAGCAGGCAGCGTGAATAAGTTCGCAAAAACGGAAATATTTCGAGTAAAGGGCAAGTGAAAGAAAAGAATACAAATTTGGTAAGCAGAAAAGCTCGTAGACCCCAACAGTTAAGGGTTCTGTTGCACGGGTAGGTGTGCACGTACGTATGCATGTGTACGAATGGGTTAAGTACTTCATGTTATCACGTCCTCCTTGTGTATTTCGAAGGTGGAAACGAGCAGCAGCAAGTAGCAGTTCTCAACGGGGTGACGTACAACTGCTCGGGTGGCAGTTCGCGCTTTCAAGGCAACTCAACGCGAGATTCGACGATCACTCTAATTGCCACTCTGTCTATCGATGTAGACGCTATTATGTTTCGCCCAACACCGTTATTACGGCTTGCCTGGAGGCTGTAGGTAGTAGGTACTCCTACAGCCACTGGTGACTGCTGCTGCTACGACACAACAAGTCGAAAGAGTGGCGCGCAACACTTCAAATTAGCAATCGTTCTTACGCCTGGCTTCGTTCCATGTAGTATCAATTGCTCCCATTCAGATTCGGTTGCCGTTATATCAGGAACGAACGTATACCACGCGTCCTCGTCGTCGTCTCCACTGCCACCAAGCATCCACCGCGATGGTGTGGTCGTGGTGGTTGTTGGTGCTGGGCGAATATACTAGCGACTTTTTGTTCGCCAAAGTGCGCGTGAAATATTTCTCTTTAACAACGAATAAGTGCCATTCCTCGTTATAATACCAACGTAGCACGGACTGTTGCTGCCAAGGTAGCTTCTTAATTTGCCTCCACGGCAGAAACTCGACTCCCCGTGTTATACGGACGATCGGCCATCCGGAAATATTAACCTTATTCCTTTATTAGCAATTATTAGGAATTGTTTTTTAGAAGCGAGCAATTCAACGACGTATTGAGCAGCTTTCTCTATTCAGCTGCTTCGGTCTTTTGTTTTCGCGAAATTGAAATGCGAGCTGCTTTCATTCCACCCTCCACATTTACCTACTACCAAACGGACTTACAACAAGTTAATCAAAATATTGCTTCTCATTTGATACCACACTCTCTCTTGTATCAGGATTATTTAAAGTAATGTGATTTACTGACTCGCAGACGAATGCACATTTTGTATAATCAAAACTCCAAATTGCTCCAGTGAATCTTGTTGATGTTCTTTATCTTATCCTCATATTTATACTGAAACTAAATAAGATAATCCTTGGTGTATTTATAAATAGATTTCTATATTTCGTTACTTGTACTTAATTGTAAAAGTGGCCACTTGTGGTTTGTTAACGAAAAAGAAAAATTACAAAATGCTTCATTAATTTGACGGTACGAAAAGGGAAAAGGGATTGGTTCGCCGAAGAGCCGAGTCATCTTTTGTGAGTAAAGGCGAGATGGGGTAATTTCAAAAATGTTTAGGAAGGACAAGGAGTGCTGCCGCGACCGATATTGTTAAATGGATGGGGTCGAAGACTATATCGGAGTCTTTTTAACAAGAGGGGACCACCCTTAAATCAGTCGATTGCAGTTCGTACGGATTTAGGGAGAAAAAGCTAAAAAGTAACTCGAGATTGAACCAGCAGATATCGTCTTTAATTTCTTTTTCTGTCTGACTGTTGCAAATCTTGAACGGAATGAATATTTTATCAACAGAACTTTGTCCAATTGTAACATTTATCAAATAAAACTGTTCCGCCTTCTTACTTATTAACTAACTACTAGTAAAATAATGCTTAAAAATTCTTAAATAAACTTTTTGTTTCAGGGAATTTTACTACATTCAAATGGAGAAATACGCTAGGCAAGCAGTGTCAGAGGGGGTGAAAAATGCCGAAGACCTGCATGTTGGTGGCGACTCCGAGCTGTACCGGGTGTTGAACCTCCATTATAACCGTAACAATCACATCGAGGTATGGGGTTTTCAGGTTCGTGGTCTCTATCCGCGACAAATTATTATTTCCTATTTTATCTTGCATGATTTATTTTATCGGCAAGACTTTCATAGAATTCCTTCCCTAACACGACTTCTTTTATCATCATCATCATCATAGGGTTGTCAGTCTTAAGTGTGGTTGAACACTCACCTTCACTCTTTTCTATCCAGAGCTAATCTTCGCATTTTTCAAAAACAAAAACATCCCACATCCTTAACTATTTGTGAACAGTAATCTGATCTAGGTATGCCTCTACTCGTCTTAGCTCTGCTTCTACTTCTAATATGTCTCTAACTAGCCCTTGAAACCTAAGAATTCTATAGCGCCCTCTGTTCTCATACTCTTTCTAATACCTCCTCATTACTAACCTTTCCTATCTATGTATGGTGCGCATCACATTTCGAACGCTTCCAACCTTTTTCTTTTTTCCCCGAGCCCTCTGTCCACATTTCGAACCCGTACAGCGCCGTACTCCAGACATACACCTTTAACAATCTTATTATTGACTTCTTTTTGTTATAAGCTTTATCCTCTGTTTTATATAACATCTCTGCTGCTCCATCCATCCTGAGTTATCCGACTTTCTAGATATCAACTTCCTTACTGTCAAACAATTCGTATCAGTCGGTCTATACCTACATTGACGTATATCAAACTAACATGGCAAAGTTATATTTCCTGTTGCTAATAGAGGGTTATCAAATTCAAAAATTTGTCGCTCCAACCTGTTATAGAAAAATAGGCGATATGCTGGTCTGGCATTAAGCTAACACCACACGTAGCTTATCTCAAAATAAAAATAGCATAGAAAAATACTATAAAAAGGGGTATAATTTGTCACTGAAATATGGGTACTTTTTCCCGTATTATCGCTAGTTTTATTCTCCAATTGACCGGCGAAAGAGGCGCCAAGTTGGCATTGGTCCTAGCGTATCTTCAAATAGAAATATCGTAGAAAAATACCAATAAATTAGCGACAAATTATGGTCATCACATCTTAAGATATTTTTCTACGATATTTATACTTCGGGCTACCCATGCTATGCAGTGTAATGTCAGTTATGAGTTTGGTTAGTTTGCCTAAATTTCCACTAGTCGTAACATGTATGAACTATCCGAAGGTTATTGCATTCAGTATTTCTTTTATACCAAAATTATCCAGTATGTTTTTTAGAAACTCCAAAAAGGTTTCGCGTTTATTTAAACGCATTCATAATATTAATAAAATAAACAGCAGGTTAAATTGGAATACGATAGCGTTATTCGTGAATGTTCTGGCCGATGCGTTGTTTAGCATCAAACGAATGCCGAATTTGGGGAAAATTATTCCAACAAAAGTAAATAATACGCACTTGAATCGAATGTTTCCCAGAACAAAAACGCCATGGTTTGGCATCACACAAACAAGTGGCTCTTCAAAAGCTCCGACAAGTTTGCTCTTTCACAATATTCACGCAATTTTAATTTAAAAAACGTAGGTATGCAGGTAATTCGATCGAAAACTAGAAGAATTAAAAATTCTTTGGCGGCTGATAGTGCGTTTAAATTTATCTAAAATAAAGAATGAGAAAAGGACTCAAAATAAATATAATTTAGGTGATAGGTACATATATCGTAAACGACTAATGTTTAAATACTTAAAATAGTAAAGTAATATTAAATTGGAAATCAAATACTAGAAGTCGCCGATAACTAAAAAATACTAGCGCAGTTAGAGGTAGGATTAACAACTCAATGAGAGAGGTTAACCCTAAACTGGTTTACTTACTGTAATTGGGCCAAAACAAATTTACAGAATTGCATGCTCCTTTTATAGTTATTATGATGAGTATACATGATAACTTACCCTACAGTATTAAGGAAAGGCTTCTGTTTTACCTGAAAAAAACAAAACAAGTAGTATCAATGTTTTTATGTTAGAGAAAACTTTTGATTTGTTCGAAGGACCAAATTAGATCCAATTATAAATTCAAATACACAAAAAACACACAATTGTTTCAAACTAAAAATGACGACAATTGTATTATTATCATCATTCCTTTTAACAAGACGGTTTAAAGGAAACTTGACTAACTTAGGAATGTTTACAGTAGTAATTGCGCTAGATTGGTATAGTCGCTAGTCTACGAAAATTTATTGCTTGTTTTTGTGCTTTAGGTTCCTTCAACGTTCAGGTTCGTGGTAGAGCAAACCCTTCGCGAATTCTTCAAAGCAATTCAAGAAGGCCGTGACTCGGAACAATCTTGGAAAAAGTCAATTTACAAGATCATCTCCAGGATGGACGATCCCGTCCCCGAGTACTTTAAATCTCCAAATTTCCTGGAGCAGCTCGAGTAAACTGAAATGCCGCCGTCGTTCCCATTAATTATTAATAAAATTAATAATAATAATAATAATGATAATAAAAAAAAAAAAACAAAAATTAATTAAAACAAAAAACCGGTTACCTCGCGGTAATACAGGTACCTGTCTGTGGTAAGTCCGTTGCTAAGACCGTTCTAATGACTATCGACTGTCGCTGTGTTTATGAAACACCATAGGATGTTAATAGAAACTGATGCTCAGGTTATGGTGGTTATATGTTAACCAACGAATCGGTGACGCGTTGTCAAGGCAACGCTTATTGTTTATCTTTTTTATCGGGTATAGATACGAATCGTGTCGAGGATGCCCAGACATCATCTTCGATTCGATTCGAAACTATTGTTACTACTATAAATAACTTATAATAATATTGTATATCTAAGTTGGCAGAAGACTATATTTCACTGCTCGAACAGTGAAGAATATCGCAAACAAAAAAAAAATATATCTAAATAACAATAATAATCGATTAACAACGGTTGATAGCCGATGCCAGTCAGTTTACCTGATACAATTTATACATTTTACCGATGACAAAGCATCTCAAGTTCTCAGTTCGTTTTCTCGCCAGAAGTCAGCAAGTTAAATATCTGCACCCCGTTGATGGTTTTCCGTTTCCATTTTTAATCGTGTTGTTATTATTCAATTGATTCAACTTCAATCAATTCAGAAACACAAAACGCGCTCGCCTCTGTAAACTGTATCTAAGTATATTTATTTCGATGTTTTTTGTACCTTGTAAATACGAAGCGTTGTATATAGAAACCTATAGATGATTGTCTTTATTGCTATTTTTATTTATTATTTTTATTATTATTACAATTATTACCGAATAGCTATAGGAAATAAACCAAAGTAATTATTAACTAGTCGCGAATTGAATTCGACGTTTCTAAACTTGTTTAAATTTCAAATTATAATTTCACTATATTTCAGAACTTTTCTATATACAAATATCGTATAAACAGTCTGCTATTACACACATTTTCATTTAATACAATAGACCAAACAAATTTGTCATGCAACTCCAATAAACTGTTTTAATATCTCTGCTGTGCTCCTAAAAAAGTTCTGAAATTTAGTAAATTTACATAATTCTTTATGCACTCTTCTCTTTTCTTTATATCTACATAAAATGGTAGATTTAAAGATAAGAAAAACGTGACACCAGAAAAACTGTGGTTTACTGCATTATTATTTTTTATATTAAGTAGGCCCTTTTAAAACAATGCATTTAGTTTGCATGCCCTGTTTATGTTACAAAAATAAAAAACGCTTATTAATTCGATTATTTGGTAACGATAATAATTGATTATCGGTTCATTTGTGCATGACGCCGCCTGCTTGATATAGAAACACGTGATGTACCTATATATGTTTAGCCAAGTTTAATTAATTTATTATTTTTTTCCTTTAGCGTAATTATTTCACTTTGCACTTTATGCCTTAGTTTGTCACGGTCTCGCAATACAGTGTGAGGGAACTAGTCAATAAATAATTTTAATTTATGTGTCTTTTCTGTGCTTCTTGTGTATGTGTTGCCAGTTAGTAGTGCAACAGTTTACAGGGCGTTCCTATTCTATAAGAAATACATTCTTGTACATAACATTCCATTATTACACCCGACGCATCTTCAGGACGTGATTACCTTCGTAACTGTTTGTTGTATTTGTTATCGATAGGTCCCAAGATTTTGTAATTGCCTGAAAAGAATAATGTGATTTAACTGTTCCTATTGAAAAAAAAAAAACTGCCTAAATTTTACAAGACTGCAGTTCTATATTTTTTAATTTCATTTTGTTCGACGTTAAGAGATTTTGTTGCTTTTCAAAATTGATCTTTTGGATTTTTATGCGACTTGAGTTTAGATTTTGTTTGTCTTGGGACGAATAGTATAAATAATGAAAAATGGAGTAAGAAGATCCGTTTGAAGTTAAGAAAAGTCGACGTGTCTATATCAAAATACATGTTATTTTTAAAAATGCTTTACATTACAAAAACCAAACGAATCAGTTTTTTTTTTAATATATTTAAGTACGTAGTTTTTCTTTTATAGTTATTTTTTTGTTGAATTATTTTTTTTTTCGGAAATACTTTTGAGTAAGTTTGCTTCAAACGGTGAAAAAGTTGACGGAAGTGGTATGTTGGACCTGCTCCTTCAAAACCGCTCTGTGTTATTGTAAATGAACAATGAACTTGTAAATATTCTATAACCACTACGCAATAGCAGCATAATTAGATATAGTTCAATAAAACGTGTTGGTGTTTTCGTTTAGTATCTACATATCCATAAAATAGCGGAGCAGGCCAAACAAATTAGAAACGTAAAAGGAAAATGAAACGAAGAATGTGGTTTGATTATATAGTGTCTATTTATCGAAGGGAAACATAGAAGAAATCACGTTCTTTAGCGGTTCTTTTTTTATAACGGACTAATTTCGCAGATTTAACTTGACCTGTGAAAAGGCCGCGACGACGAAATCTGCCGCGTTCGGAGATGAGCGGACGAATTGTCGCGGTTTGGTTTTCGCAGGTGGCATAAGACCTCAAAATTACTCTTGGATTTGACAGTTCAAACCATTTCGTTTAGAAGACAGACACTGGTGGCTCTTTCGCAGCAAAACAGATAAACATAACAAAAAAAGAAATTGCATAACTACAGATACGGCCAAAGTTGCACTCGATCCAAAATCGTACACGATAAAATAATCCGTGCTGATATTAATTGCTGATGGTGGTGGCACCATGACGCGTACTCCCAAACCAACACATTAAAAAACAAAAAGAAAAAAATACATTACCCGAATTGTCGAAGACGATTCAAACAGATGAATTCAGAAAAGACCTGAACAAGGTCCTGGAGGTACTACATTCTTTCTGGGTGAGACTGTAAAGTAATTTTTGAGGTCAATCCAAGAATCTCCCTAGTGGGGCCCAATAGCATAGTTTATCCTCAGTCTTAGGTAGGAATTCTAACAAACCTTTCAGTAATAATTCGTTTCTACTCACATGTTTGGCATGATGTTGACGTCTTTGAGTTTATGCTGTCTTTTTGTACAACACGTTTGGTTGCGAATTTTCAGTTTGACATGCACACACATATACAAAATACGTGAACTTCAGCGGCGATGGAACGCAATCTGTCCAACCCCAATACGTACGTGCGTACGTATTTCTCTATACGACGGTGGCAGATTGAGTTCTACATTCAGTATAATACGTATAAAAACAGCAAACAAAAGAAATAAACCCGGTTTTCAGTTACAGGATCGCATTTCGCAGGCTTCAAAAAACACACAAAAACAAAACACCGTTCGGAAAACGTTTTGGTCACCGGTTCAAAAAAAAATCTAAAAAATTCATATAGATATCACGAAAAAAGTACAAGCTTGTTTTAAGCACCTCTGCGCCTTAAATTTAAAGTTCGAAGCAAAAAAAAAAAAAAGAAAATGATATGAGTGTGTATTACCAAAATCTGCCTTATTCTATTTTCTTATGACGAAATCTCCTACCAGTGTAGCTTTATTATTTGCTAGTGTGTATCATTCTTCATCCGGATACCGGCAATTTTTAAGATTTTTATTAAGATTATGAACTTATCTAGTCCAATATGTAATACATAGCATTTTGTGTGAGTTGTAGTAATACATGTACAATTACTGTTGGTGAAAAAAATACCACTCGAGTGCTCCCCATTCATTTACCTTTAGTTAACGACTATTTTTACAATAAACTGCGTACCGCTTATACATTTATCATGCGTTACAGCCAAGAATAACGTAGACCACTAGATTTTTAACCATTGTTTGTAAGACGTTTCTTTGTACAAAACCATAAAAACCACACACTCTCTGCTACGTTTTACGTTCGTACAAGGATAGAGAACCTCCTGAAATGGTTATCTCCATCAATTTACGCATCTAAATACTGCAAGTATTCATCGACATTAAATGCGTAATTATTAAATATAATTTAAAAATAATGAATTGTGAAAGAGTATCTAACGTAAACACCTAACATTGGTTGGTCAATTTGAGATTGTAAGTGATTTTGTTAAGAAACAGTATCTCTTATGAAATTATTACTTGTTCAAGATAACATTACAGTTGGTTTCTTTAGACGTAAAAATACGGGGGCAGTAAGAGTGTTTTCCGTGATAATGATTATTTGTGTCAGACAAGTATTGTTTGCGTCAAGGGAGAGTTCGATGGGCGTTCTCAATCTGAAATAGTCATCAAAATCCATACAAAATCTGCAGCAATAGCGATGAAGGCAACCAAACAAAAAAACTACAGTTTTCCGTAAGAAAATTCGATAACCGGTCTAAAAAAAAAAAACTCATTCAAAATTCTCACTGGGCCATTTCGTCCGTCAAAAAGTGCCTTCAAATTTGTTTCTACGAAAAAAAAAAATTAAAAATTTAAGGCCCTACATAGACTGAAGCACCCAACCAAAGCGTCCGTCGAACCCTCCTTCGACCACTGTGCTTCAATTCAGTGTTGCCAAGGAGCGCTCGATATTGTAACTCGTATAAAGTTACTTTATTAATATTATTATATTGTTATGCTAAGGAAGCTGAGCCAAGCTCGCCCAGCTAAGGTGAAGCTATACTATTTGTGGTATATAGTAACTTAAATTTAGAAGTAGAAAATAATAATATAACGTACAGATTAAAGGTTTAAGTTAACACCCATGTTACTCGGTTTCCGTTAACTGTTGCTGTTATTTGTTAGTCCGGGCCTGCACGACTTTGACTGTCGGACGCGGAACGTTGAAAGTACAGAAACGTAAATCTACCACATACACCTACATAACTCTGCAATAGCCTAGACTCGATAGTCGTTTAATTGTACATACATACATACTACTCACTGCTACAGATGAACAATTATACAAGTAACGTTGTATTTATCTACTATTATTTTTAAGGTCCCAGTTTGTATAATCAAAAACGTTTTTGTACAAGTGCAATATATAGGACCGTTAGTCAAAGTCCTGCGCGTCCTCCGAACCTATTAAGTTTTATTTTTTCTTGTCACCAGATGACTCTTCGGTCTTCCCAGTCTGAACCCGACAACAGAAACTTTATTGACCACCGATCTTGTTACGTCTGGCATCAAAATTTCCGGAAATGCGGCTGCAAAGTCGCATGGATATACTAAAGAAGTGTCTCACCCTTTGGCTTTTATTCAAGAACCATTTTAGGTTAAAATTGTGAGCAACCCAAGTTGAATGTTCTTTCATCCTTTTCGCGAATAAATTTTCGTTCAGTAAATGCTACTGTCATAACAGAGATCACAACGCATTTAATACTTTTTTTACAAAAACTTTCTTCAAAATTGCATACAAATTAAAAAAAAAATGTGTTTTTATCCTTTTATGAATCAAGAACAATTCAAATAGAAAAAGCATTTTCAAAATTAGAGAATAGTCAACCTATTCAAGACTATCTACCTTTTACTACTAATAAAAAAAAAATATAGTAACATACTAAAGTTACAAATCTGCATGGAGCGTAGCATTTACTTCCAAAACCAAATTTGCTTTCGACATTTATGAGCATGTTTATTATTTTGAGTTACGAAAAACCGGCAATTGTTTCGGTGAAAGCTCAAACTTGGGTTGTATAACCTGAAGGAGGTATGAGGTGGTCAGTTGTCGGGTGTCTTAGGTCAAGACGCTGGTGCTTTGATAAAGACCGCTGCGCCACGGCCAAAAAAAGGCTTCACTATAATCAGTACTTTTAAGGTTAGGCATTGCGTAAACGATAGAGAATCGAAAGATTGTATATTTAGTACAAAAAAAAAATGAAACAAGAAAACAAGAAAATCGAGATAGCTCAAAATTTATTCGGTCGCTGGGGTCCAGGCTGGCCACGCGCGTTTATAAGTGTAAAAATTTAAGAGTATTTTTATATTATATTGGTGTGAATCAAAATTCGGTATGGAAAAAAATTATTAATTATCGTAGTTTCTAGGTTGATAATTTTAAGAAAATTAAAGTTTAGGAATTTTTAAATAAATTTGTATATAAAAAAAAATTATAT